TGAAAAAGATGAAATAAAATGGCCACAAGCTGATAATTATTCAAGTTGGGTGATAGGTATTGGTAGTTCCTACATAATTTTACTTTTTGAAAATCTCCATAAGCATTTAATTTATATATGAGTATTTTCCTATTATAATTAATTTTGTGATAGCATTCTGACTCTGGGCCTAAATTAAGCAACAGTTTATAGATGACTTTTTATGCAGCATAAATGACAAAACAAATGCATACATTTAAATCTCTCAAACCATCCACTCCTACCCAGGTCTGAAAACAGAAGAGGAGTAAAATAACGCACTCTGTATGTTGAGAGGGCAAATACAATTCCCTATGTCCCTCAAGTCCGGGTAATTTTCTCCATCCACAACTAACAAACCTTTGCTGGTAGTGTTCAGCTATAGTAAGTCAGTTGAGTCATCCTGTTTCTATATGTACTGAGAGAATTTTCCAGGGCTATAAACCACTTTATTGTATTAAGGTTAGAACCTTAAACACTCCAGCTCATGCTGGGTGGGTTTAATTTACCTTGTATCACTGTTGGGGAGTCAAATTTAATTGCCTGGTTATAACTGCAGAAAAGGTGAAAATGTAGACACTGTAGGTTTACTACAGTGTGTCTTCTAGAATTATGCCATGGAACTACATGCTTATATATAGAATTGATTCCTTGGGAAATAAAATTTCTTCGACTGGTTCTTAATTAGGCCAAACTCTCTTAGTAAGAAATAGTAAAACAGCAAAGTTATCAGTGATACACATTTTTATCAGATCACTTGATATCAGTGCTATCTCCAAAAGTACACTGAGTAAAATTAGAAATGTCAACCTTTCCACTCCTCTCCCCCCAGTTCTCCTCCCTTTCCCCAAAGGTACCATAGTTAACAGTCTGGTGTGAATAATTCCAGGTATTTTTATACATAATTACACTCTCAGAAATATATACATACACATGTATCATTTTGGTGGGTTTCATGAGATTATATTGTACCTGTTCTGCAACCTGCTTTTCCCTAACATAAAAAGCCTCAGAGACCTTCAATTCATAAAGCTCTACCTCATTCTTTTTAATATTCCAAAATATGAACATACAATTTTAGCATCCCTTTAGTAGAAATTACTTAAGGCCTTTCTAAATTTTTGTTAATATTGCAACAAAAGTCTTTGTGCACAGCCCTGACTGGTATAGCTCAGTGGGTTCGGTGTCCTCCCATAAACCAAAAGGTTGCCAGTTCAATTCCAGTCAGGGCATATGCCTGGAGTGCAGGCCAGGTCCCCAGGTTGGAGCCTGTAAGAGGCCACCAATCAAGGTTTCTCTCTCTCTTTCTCCCTCCCCTCCTCTCTCTAAAAATAAATAAAATCTTTTTTTAAAAAAAGTCTCTGTGCCCATATTTCTGTAGGACAGAGTACAAAAAAATTAAATCTCTAGGTCTAAAGGTAGTCACTGAAAGCCTTTACCAATTTTAGTTCTATAAATAGCACATAGTACAAATTGCAAATTGCATAACATAGTGATTACATACTATTGCTATCACTAATGGTGCAATTACACATGGATACACTCAATTTAAAACATTTTTTGCCAGGATGTCAGGACCAAAAAATGTATTTCATTGGCTTTATTTCCTAATAATGAGACTGTGCAGCTTTTCAAGTTTATTTACATTTATATTTCTTATTTTTCAAACTTTTTGTTTCATTGATTTTCAGAGTTCTTTATATTATTGCGTATTAATCTATTGTTATATCATAATAAGATCAAAAACTTTTTTATAGGTTATTTGCTTCCCTTCCTTCTGAGTGGCACAAAAACCAGATTAATAAGGGGTCTATTTTCACACATTTTTCTAATTAACTATCTTCTCAGACTATTAGCAATAAAATTACAAATCACAGGAAAAAATAAATCTAAATACCAATACAGCACGTGAAAACAACAATCAATGATAATATGAAATATTATTTGGAAAGTGTTTTCATTTTCTTTAATGTTTTTTAACATACCGATTTCTTCTAAGGACACACATGAAGAGAAAAAAATGTCTTCCAAGCCATTAAAGATTTAGGGATTTAAGTTTGTGTGTGTGAGAGAGTTCACTTTGGTTCCTTTTACAGAAGAAAATATTTGATATGGGATATATGCTTTTAAGAAGCTATTCTAAACGTCTTTTCTAAAAAACGGTATATTTTTTAAGTACCTAGGGGTAATAAGAAGTCCCAAAATATGTCAGCATAGATTTCAAGATTATAAAAGTAATTTTCAAATTTTTGTAATGCATTTCAAAATAGTAAATATTGTTAGAGTGATTTTATCACAAAATTCTTGGGAGAATCAGTCATGAATTTTTCAAGCAAATAATTCAATCACATGATAGATTAACCCACAATAGTTCTCACTACATAAACTACCATTACATAAAGATGCCCTTACTTGTTTATTTCTTGCTTTACCAATGGTTAGCAAATTTCCTTCCAGCAGGTAAATGTAACAGAAGCAAGAAAAAATTTTAAAGAATACAATAGGAGTAAGAACAATATGGTCATAAGATCTGAATAAAAGACAAAACCCTGAAGATAATTAAAAATGAAGGACTAGTAAGCAAAATGTAAATAAATCTCTTACGTGTCTAAGAGACAGAAGAGTTGAAATAGCTGAGAGTCTATAAAATTTTTTGAAATAAGTAAAGCCCAAGAAGAAAAATAATACCCAAAAGAGGAACTATAGCTAATTAACAAACATTTTTTAAAGGTCACTTTAAGTCATCTAATACATGAAAATTAAAGTGTGACCCTTCACCTAAAAACAAAACAAAGTAAAATGAAAAGTTTCATCATACATTACTAATTCTACAGGTAATGCTAAAACCCTTCTGAAATATAATTTTTAACAACTATAAAAATGTTGATATCAATGTGTGTTATTTGTGGCTTGCTAAAATACTCCCAAGACAAGGAACGGGGCAAATCTTCCTTACAGAATTCCAAATATTAGTAGGTTTCTCTACCTCTAGGAGGTTGAAGCTTAACCCTCCCCCAACCCTGAATGTGTAGTAGACTTATGGACTCATTTCTAAAGGACAGAATACAGAAAAAGAAGCTAACTTTACACTGGAGAAACCTAGCAAACACTACCCTAACCAAAAGAATGAGGTGAATATCATTAGTGATGTTGTGTTAATATCATGTGCCCTTTGATACGATGTAATAAGAAGGGCACTTCACCTCTGTAGTATTCTTCCCAAAAACCGTAACACCAAGTCAAATCATGAGAAAAGCTAGTATACCCAAATTGAGGGGAATTCTACAAAATATCTAGCCAATAGGCCTCCAAACTGTCAAGGACATCAAAAACAATGAAAGCCTATAAAATTATCACGGACCACAGGAGACAAAGCACACTAACACTACTTCCAGGTGATCCTAGGAAAGTCCTTGTACATGATAAAAAGAGGTAGACTATTACTGACATTTTACTTACATTAATAATACTGGGTAATGTGCCATTAATTTCACAACCATCCGTTGTTCTCCAAAAACTTTTGGAGACTGTCCTCCCTGTAATTCTACTAAGAGGCTTATAAATTAATTTCGATTTGAGGCAGAGCTAGGCATTTCTGTCCTTCCACATGCAAGCGTTCAATACCTTTACATTTTATGACTTGGAGTCTTTGGCCCCTGCTGCTCCAGCTCCATTGTGATCCCAACATAAGCTGAATGCATGATTTGGAAAAGTCCTTTCTTTTTTTTCTTTTTTTTTTTAATTTTTTACTGTATTTTTTCCCATTACCATTTAGACACCTTCTACCCCAGCTCCCCCAACTTTTCCACTCTTTTTAAACAAATCCTGCCTGATATCCTATCAAAATATAACAAAACATCAGCTTATCCTTTACACACCTCAGATCCAGTCCTTACTAAGAAAAAAAGAAAAGCAATCAGTTCTAAGAACCCAAAATTTGATTTGTCAACTTCACTCCTCCTTTATTTTGAATATTGAAGATATGAACCCTTATTTAACCTTCCTACTTTTTTGCCAATCTCTAGTTTCCTCTCTTCTTCAGTAAAGGTTAGTTCCCTGCTCCTGCTTCCAAAAGCAGTATTACTAAGAAATTCATTTTCCTCACAAGCAATGAGTCACAGTTCCAGCATGTTCAATGTGAAATTCTTGTGATTAAGAGGAAAAATATATGTAGAATTACTATATGCCCAAAATGTAAACCTATGTAAGAATTACTCTACATTAAAATGATTACACTGGTTCTGCTGAAGGTGAACAGATGATGTTTTCTCCTTGTTTTCCTAGTTGTCTATATATTTTACTTTATGAATCAAATAATATACAGGGTGGGGCAAAAGTGGGTTTACAGTTGTGAATACATGAAAGTTCATTTTTGTATTATTATTTATCATTATTTCCATACAAACTGCAAATCTATTTCTGCCCTACTCGTATTTACATATGGGCATGTAAATTTGTCACATATGTAAACATTTACATACATATGTAAATAAAAGATTCTACCCCAAGTAAATACTAAAGGTTGATGCCAAAACTTCCACACACAAATAACTGAGAGATAAATTTTGATGCTTGCAAATTGTCTAAAACATGAAGGATTAAGTATTTAAAAATAATTTAGAATTGGTTGCCTCTGGAAAGGGGCTAGAGCACGAAAGTAAAAAACATTTCATTGTACAACACCATTTGTGTCTAAACTATTCACAAAATATTAACTTTTAAAAAAATTATTTATTTTTAGAGAAAGGGAGGGAAAGAAACATCAATTTGTGGCTGCCGCTCATGCAACGCCCCTCTAGGGACCTGGCCTGCAGCCCAGGCATGTGCCCTAACTGGGAATCAAACAGGCAAAGGCAACCCTTTGGTTCGCGCTCAAGCCACTGAGCCATGCCAGCCAGGGCACAAAGTATTAACTTTTTTTTTTTGAGAGAGAAAAAGGGAGGGAAAGAGACAGAGAAAGATCGATTTGCTGTTCCACTTACTTATGCATGCATTGGTTCACTATTTTAGGGGCCTGATTGGGGATTGAACCCACAATCTTGGTATATGGGAATGATGCTCCAACCAATTGAACTACCCAGCAATGGCCAAAATATCAACTTTTCATAACAACAACCTTCTTTTAAAGTAGGCTTCTTGTTTTTCCCCCTACCAGAAGGGAAAAATAATTACATTTCAATTTTCTCCTCAACAGACTATCCTAAACTGTGTTAAACTTCTATCTGTCCCCCTGTCCTCACTGAATTTGTTGGCTCACGTTAATATATGATAAAAAAATATTCTAATATCTATAAATAAATGTGCTACAAAATGAACCAAATCCCATAATCAATAAGAAGCAACCAAATATAAACAGATCATATAACAGATACTTCTAAAGTCAGCCTTTACCCTTAATATGAGGTAATCATTCTTTGCAAAGTCAATTATCAAAGTGTACCTTTCTCCTATTCACCCTCTGCTGGAAGCTTTAATAGTTAAGAGAATCAAACTATGGAAACAACAGTGTACATACTACCAATTATTAATGTTGGTATAATGGTTTGTCAAATTGAGTTTAAAATAAAGGCAAATGGTAATATATATCTTAAAATTCATTGTAAAAACAACATAAAACAGAAGAAAACAAGGTAACAGACAAGGACTTGAGTTTTGTTTCAGGTGTTTTTCCAAGGTGCATCCAGAAATCAAAGATATATGGGTACACACTAAAGCTGGGATGGCAAACAAAAAAAAGAAAAGGTGAAGAGAGAAGAGGAAAAAGAGATAATAAGTATTACAACCCAGTAAATAAGAAATGAATTCTTTCTAGAATTTTCTGAACATGCCAGACCTAAAATGTATTTATTTATATTTGTATATCAAAATTTGACTCACAAATAAGAAAGCAATCAGGATTTCAATAAATGGTCCTAGGAAAATCTGCTAGAAATTGAAAAGGAGGAAGATCTAGCAGCAATTCTAGAAGACAATTTAGGTGAATATTTACTTGACCTTTGTGGAGAAGTTTCTTAAGGATATAAACAATGAAAATATCAACAAATTTCTAACGTAAGTCTGTGTATACAAAAAAAAAATCCCAAAATAAGAGCAAAAGACTAAAGAGAAAAAAACACATTTCACTAATACAGTTGACAAAGGTATCTTAATAACATACAGCATATGCAAACAGAGTATTAAATACATTAGACACTGGATTTAAGATTACAAACTACAATAACTTTTATGACAATACAAATCCAGAAGGTAAAATATGTTCATACCCTCTGAATAATTTATGGAACAATCAAGAACTTTGAATAGTGACTGGATTAAATGACATTTAGCAAGTACTAATTTTTTTAAATATAATTAATATAACTAATGTTTAAAAATGTAAAAATGTTAATGATCACATCTAAAGAGTCCTTAACTTTGAAAAATCCCACTAAGTATTTTTAATATTAAAGAGATACAATGCCTTGGATCGAGTTGAAAATAATCCTGCAAAGGGGGAGATCTAGACAGAATAGAACAACCATTAGTTGAGTAACTGTTGAAGCCAGTCAATGGGTATGTAGGAGTTCATTATACTATTCTACCTTTTAGCATAAAAAATTTCAAACATACCTGTTATTTTAAAATGTTTTTATGGAAAAACAGAACAAAAACTCACTGCCTCCCCCCAATAAAAAGACAACAACACAGGGCTCTTCTTGAGAAGGCAGGGATAACCAGGGCTGATTTAAGGTCAGAGGATGACTATCTCTCTATCATGATTTTGAGAAGGTGATTTACAATGAAATGACCTGTTCAAGTAGCCTGCCAAATCTTTACAGTAATCAAGAACAATATCAAAATTTTTTCCATTTAAAAAAATAAAAATAAAAGCCCACAGCAAGAGCAAAATACAGTAACAATTTAGAATGCATGTAATTTGTTTTTACAGGACAGAAAACAGAGATGCTGGCCAATGAAATGGGGAACTCAAAAGAAGCATCTGTCTAAAAAGCATCAATTGTATTATTTAGAGCTCCAAAGTTATAAAACCAAGGAAGTGAATCATATGCTGGAACTGCTCCCCAGGACATTCAGGGAGCTCACAATTGAGTTTATGCACTACTCTGTTTTTACCTTATCCCCAATTATATCACAGGGGTAATTATTCACTCTAAAAATGTTTTCTAGAAATAACTTTCTGACCCCAACTTTTTACATAGTGGCCAATTTAGAAAACTGACCAATGAAATGAGCAGGGATATCCCAAAATTCTGGCTACCTTTCATATTAAACAGGGAAAACAAAATATCTATCAATTCCAGTATTACCATACTATTATAGTATACACTAATGTCTATACTTGGGATTACTTTTATCAGATCACCCAACATCTCAATGTAATAAGGTGATCAAATTCACTCATATACAATATTTTGCAACATATTCATTTGTTTTATTCTTTTATCAGAAATGAATCTCAAACATAGCCATACTTTATAATAGTTTATATTTGCCTGTAGCTTTATTACTTTCACATCCTACTAACTACCCTTCTAAGAAAATAAAAGCAGGAAAATCATCTCTGTTTTAAAATGAGGAAAATAGACTCAAATAAGCTAGCAATTTGACCATGGTAACACATCTGGTATGAGACAGACCATGGACAGGAAGTAACAGTGTAAATTCCTGATCAGGACTCATTCCACATTGGTCACATGTGACCAACCATGCTAGTTACATCTGTTTCACCCTTACAAAGAAAACTTAGAGCATACAGAAATTAGAAAACTATCAATTGACTTCCTATTGCTACTAATAACATACTTTTCTCTTAAACTACATTTTCATCTCTGATGGGAAGTGGGCAAGAATACAGATTCAAATCAATCAATCATTATCTGTTAAAAACTGCACTAAAGCTACACATAGAAGTTAAAGACATTTTAAATATTTAAATGTTGAAATAAATCCCATATATACCCTAAATATCATAATTCTATGTGACTAAGAATTCTCTGTATTATTACATTTTTTTAAAAATTCAAAGAGCCAAGCCATCATAGTTAGATTTCTTGTAATATTCCCTACATTGATCCAATAAGGTGACCATATATTGTTCCACCTAGAAGTGGCTATTTATAAGAGTAAAATACAATAAAAATCACCTCTGAAATTCTTAACAAAATATTTTTACAAGATAACAAAAAAAACTTACACTCTTCTAGAGGGCACACTATTCAAAAGGAAGAGACTACAGCAAACTAAAAAAAAAAAAAAAGACAACAAAATGCTTACTTTCCATAGAGTAGAATGGGAATGTATAGAGGAAACAAGGTCAGTGGGATAGGAAGCCTGTGCAAGATATATCACTGTATAGATCATGTACAGATTAGAGGACGCTGTCTTCATTTATTCACCTTTAACAAACGACAACTTCAAAAGTGGTACTCTTAAAACTTTGGGGATGCATCAGTTCTCACCCTCTCACTTAAGGAGGAAAGAACTGAGACCCAGGGAGCTTCAGTGACTTACCCCAAGTCACACAGCAGAGATGGAATTCAAACCCGTGTCTTCTCTCACTTCTCCTTTCCTGAAAAGGATATAGCAAGTAAGTCCTCAGGGGACTACGTAACTGGCAGAAGAGTTCTGAGGAGGATATAGAAGAAATAAAAAGCAGCCCTTTCCTCCAGGAGCTGGCAATCAAGTTAATTATTAATTATAATTAACTCATATGATAATGATAACAATTACATACCAGTATCATTAACCAAAATAAATGTCACAGACAACTGCCTTCTGTGATAACCTTTCTGGTTAAAGCTGAAATTCAAAGAAAAGGAGAAGCTTAACTCTTCAAGGCCATGAAGAATTTTCTTCGCTCTTTCATTTCTCCATGACTCTGCAGCCCAGAGCTCTATTACCGGTCCACCCAGGGGCTGCCACCACGTTTCTGGAAACTCCCTGTTACTATGACCCTATTTGCCTATGTCTTAGACGTTACCTTCTCTCCTCAGTAAGACTTTTTTTCCTTAGCAATATTTGATCCTATTCTAGGAATCACCTTAGGCAACACTTGCTGAAAAACACTGGACAACAGAAAGAATGACTACATCTTAGATAAATGATTCAAGTTATGGCACTACCACTGAGGATGCATAAATTACTTAGCTTTTCCGTGACTTCAGTTTCTCTATCTTTAAAACAGGAGTGGTAACTGAAACTATTCATTTAAAAAGGTTGTTGCAAGGATCAAGTGAGAATTTGTAAGGGTGCTTTATAAACTGTAAAATGCGCTGGACCAATTCAACTCCAAGCCCTTAGATTTGAAATGTATCTTCAACCCTCAGCCCAAGGCCTCTGTACGCTGCTTTAGAGCATTTGTATTCCCCTGGGGCTCAGCTAACACTCTTGGGCATAAAAGAGAAAGGGAAAAAAGAAGTCTTCTGTTCTGAATCTTGGTCCCTTACCTAAGAATTTCCTGGCCTTCCCTGGCTGGTCCTTACTCCTGTATAATCCAAAAGACTCTCTCAAGGTCCAGGAGTAAACTTTATTATAAATAGTCAAATAAAGGGAAACTTTTCAATGGAATCATCTTTGTTTATACTCAGTATCATAACCCAAAGTTTCATATTCAGAAAATATTTTCTAAATTTCTACTCAAGAGTACTTAGTAGTCAAAAAGAAAAAAGAAAATTACGTGTGCATTTCATAAAAAAAGAAAAGAGTACTTAGTAGTCATACTCTGAATTAAAACATTTAAACTCAAGGGGAAAAGGCTGCATTTCATAAATTAAAAACAGAAAAATTCAACAGAATTCCATATAGATGCAAATATTCCATACTATCTTATACTATGTGATCCCAAATCACAGTGGATATAAATTGCTTATAAATGTTAAGAAAGCAGTTTTTTACAGTTGTATTACAAAGTAGCAGCGTCTTCTGAAATTGTGAGGCATATCCCAAGTGACCTTAAAAGTTTATGAATGATCTACATTATTCAGAAAAATAAGAGTAGAATTTGAGCTTTTTTCCTCAGTATCATTCTCATTCACTTGCTTGTCTATATGACTTTTTGAGGAGAAGAATTATGGCTACTGCTCTCCCAACTTTCGTAGCTCACAGCCTTTCTCAACCATACTACAGCCTAAATAACATATCTGCGTACACATGCACAAACACCATTCATAACAGGAAAAATGCTTAGAATCACCGTAATAAAGAAAGCAGTGTTATTAAAAAAGGAAACAAATAAAGACCACAGATTTCAAGTCTTCAAAATTTCAAACAAGTCAGTTTCTTCTACATTACCTTTGCTAAGAGTACCAAGGCAACGAAATACTTTGTTTAAAAAAAAATTAATGTGTTCAAAAGTATATTGTAAGGTAAAACAAGGTAGGAGCCAGAACATTGATCTCTAAGTCTGGTGCATACACCATGAAGATGCTTACTGCATCCCTAACTTGATTTTAAGTACCTTTATAAGCTGTTAAATCTTGAAAGTGCGGAACCTGTAACACTTGTCAATCAATGAGTGCAGTCAAGCAAAAACCAGCTTCATTCTGTATTTTTAGAAAGCTGAGACTCACATCAGTGCTTTGACCTAAGTTTAAAAAAGGAAATGAAAATTCGACATGAAAATAAGCAACAAGAGGTAACTTTCTCCAAAACAAATGTATTGAAGTTGAAAATGTTATAAACAAAATGTAACACTACTATACACCTAAAAATCATTTTTGTTTAGAAAAATATACATTTTCCATAGAGTTATATTTATTTTTTTTATTGATTGATTTGAGAGAGACAGAGACATCAATTCATGGATTCTCTGTTCCACTAACTTATGCATTCATTGCCTGATTCTTGTGTGGGCTTTGACCAGGGATCAAACTCAAAAATTGGGAGTATAGGGAGGACAGTCTGAACGACTGAGGTACCTGGCCAGGATGCAAAGAGTTTAATTTAATTTTAAAAGCAATACACCTTTATAGTTTTAAAATTCAAACACAAAAAGATTAAAATAAAACCACAAAAGTGAAAGGTACTCCTCTCTCCTCAGAAGCAACTTCTATTAATAACCTTCATGTAAATTTTCTAGGTATTTCAAGTATATGTATGCTGTATATTCTTGCTGAATTACTATTAAAATCACTACATTTCAAATGTCTTAAATATGACTTATTTTGTAGACTGGTTGCTCTAATTATTCAGAGCTTGGGTCAACTATTTAAAGCCATGGTTCATCACAATAGGCATAATGGTTAAAATTGGAAATTCCATTAATGTGCAAAGTTAAATATATCAGTTTATTTACAATCTTATAAACCATAGCCAGTTAAAAATCAGTTTAGAAAGTTTCTAAGGCCACAGTATTAAGCTCATTAAGTTAAACAAAAAGTTAGGATATAAACCTACGTGGCTTTATATCTCGTTTACACGAAAAGATGAACTTTTTAAAAATAAAACACCAGAAGGAAATACGTACGGAGATGACTTCTGAATGAGTGGGGTATATTTTGTTGTTGTTGGCTTCATATATTACTATCCTTCACAGTCTTACAATAACAAATAGGTCTTGTGTTTTAAAAGGTGTGGGGGAAGAGCTACTAGAAGTGCACAGCCAAGCTAAGTTTAAATAGAACAAAACAATTCATGAAAGTAGTTCTACTAGCATATTCTGATAGCTAAAACAAGTAGATTTATTTATTACATCTTCCATAGTTGTATAAGTGAAAAAGGCTAGTCAACACTGTTGTAATATAAAGTATATGAACTTTGAGTCAAGAGAAAATTGGGCTTGAATAACCAATGTACTAATAATGGCTTTACCTTGGGCAACTTACCTAACCATCCAGAGCCTGCTTCCTCCAGTGAATGCTAGGGATAATAGTATCTGACTTGGAGGGTGATGTGTCAGATAAACATATTATAAAGGAAATCAAGGAACTGGCATATATATCCCATAAATGGTAAATGCTGGTCATTACCAGAGGGAAATTGGGATGCGGGGTGGTAAAGGGGGGGATAAAGGGTGATGGAAAGAGACATTACTTGGGGTAGTGAACACACAATACAATATACAGATGATGTATAATAGAACTGTATACCTTAAACCTATATAATTTTATTAACCAATATAACTCCAATAAATTCAATAAAAAATAGTAAGTGCCATTATTATTGATATTCAGGGAGGTAATTGTTTTTAAATTTCAGACTCAAATAATTTTCAGCCCCCTTTCAAAATGGCTTTGAAAGTGCCCAAACTGTTCTTTACCAAACTGCAGTTACTACTGATACGTGGCCAACTACAGAAACAAACATCCATATAGTTAGCATCTATTGTGTGGGCCATAACATGAAAATGCATGTGAACACATACCAAAAGAACACCTTTACTTAAACCTGCAGTAGTAATTGTCTAAGAAGTTTTACAATCTAAAAAAATCCAAATATAAACCACAATATAACAAAGAACCATTGGGAGTACTGCTTAATTTTCTGCAAATTCTTTTAAACCCGTATACTAATATATCACTATCATCATCCATTTAGACAATTTAGTGTCTTATATTGAGGTTTTTGTTCTAAGTCCTGTTAAGTTATATGGAAAAGATTATTACAAAAAATTATTTTCAGCAATGTACTGTTTTTTTACAGATACAGAATAAAGTTGAGGTTTTTCTTCATTTATTTATTCCATCAACAAGCCCACTGATCGCCTAATTAGTCCTCCCCGACCTCATGGGGCCTCCCAAAGGAATAGGCCAGACAGCCACAGACAATTAAATATGGAAGGTGAAGTGATGTCTCACATGGCTGTTTACAGGGAAGCCTAAGGTGGGTTAGGACAGAGCTTCGTAAATGTAATATGAGACCTGAGCCTCCATAGAAAAAGTTAGCCAGGCTTAAAGACCAGAAAGAAAGGAAAAATACTAGAAATTCAGTGTTTCTCTGGGTTGATATTCAGACAGGGAATTGTTTTTAGGTTTCAATGTAATAATCAAATGTCAATACAAAAATCAAATTTAATAGTTTTTAACTCATTTAGAAAGGGATTCTGCAGTAAGAAATTTACTCAGTTTATGATGATCTAATGGTAGTTCAAAGAGTAGAACACCTAAATCAATGAAGAAAATGTAGGACAAATTCAAATAACTGCACAAGTAGGCAGAAAGCATTAGATGGGTTTTTGGTGTGTGGAATGCAAGGTAACACACAGAAAGGATAAAATACTTCAAATTTACTCAATAAGCCTGGTAAGATGATTACTCAAGACAAAGTTTCTTGAGGTCATCTCCCAGCTGTATAGCTTCAGGCCAAAAGACCAACAAAACAATCTTCATTAAGAATAGGATTAGAAATGGGACAGAAAACATTATCTTGTCCTTAACAAAAAGCAGGGCCTGTCAAAACCAAAGTACTGTGTACAGTTCTAAACACTGAAGTTCAAAGACAATAAGGTACAGTGATTAAGAAAGTAGGTTTGGGGCCTGGCTGGATACTCAGTTGGTTACAGTGTCATCCTGAAATACCAAGGTTGTGGGCTCCATCCCTGGTCCAGGGCACATGCAAGAATCAAACAGTGAACCCAGGCTGGCGTGACTCAGTGGATTGAGCACTGGCTCTGCAAAGTAAAGGGTTCCAGGTTCGATTCACAGCCAGGGCACCTGCCTGGGTTGTGGGCCACGTCCCCAGTTGGGGGCATGCAGAAGGCAACTAGTCGATGTATCTCTCTCTCACACAACGGTTCCTTCCCCTCCCTCTAAAAATAAATAAAATCTTTAAAAAAAAAAGACTCAAACAATGAATGCATAAATAAGTGGAACAACAAATCAATGTTTCTCTTAAATCAATAATTTTTTTTTTTTAAAGCAGGCTTGAGTTCAAATCCAACTTTCTGTCATCTACTATGTATCGGTCCCTTCCTTTCTACAACAGGAGTAGGAACATCTACATCTGAGTTGCTCTAAAGTAAAATGAAAAACACAGAAGAGTTTTTAGCTTAGTACCTGACATACAGTGTTCCTCAAAATGGTGGCTATCATTACTACTATAAAGAAGCATTCTTCCAGACAAAAGCTATTAAAATATTAAAAGACATTCTCAAACTTTGATGTACATTAAAACCACCTGAAGCACTTGCAGATTTCGGTGACCATTCCTCCTACGAATTAATTCTATAGATCTAAAGTAGAATATGGCCCAAACATCAAGAATTATTGAAGTCAACAATCAAGGCACTGCCTTATAAAACAGAGCTGAAGCCCTGGCTAGTGTGGCTCAGTGGACTGAGCACTGGCCTGCAAACCAAAGGGTCGCTGGTTTGAGTCCCAGTCAGTGCACATGCCTGGGTTGCGGGCCAGGTCCCCTGTGGGGGCGCACAAGAGGCAAACACATTAATGTTTCCCTCTCTTTCTACCTTCTTTCTCCTCTCTCTAAAAATAAGTAAATAAAATCTTATTTTTAAAAAAAGCTGAAAACTAGGGTTCTTCCATAAAGAAATGGCCTAAAATAAACAGCACATTCAAGACAAATACAGACATACTCACCAAATTCACTCATTCAACCAACAATCATTGAGTACCTACTGTGCAGTAAATAGGAAAGGCAAGGTCCCCATTTACAGAGTTTAATTTCTATTGTGAGACAGAATATAAAAAATAAGGAAATTCCTCTCCCCTAAGACCTCACCTAAACTCACAGCCTTTAAAATCCTCAAGAGGCAGGACTCAGGGCACCACCCTCCCTGCTGGGAGTATGCCCACACCTCTTTCCTCTCGCACGTGCATCTCCTAAACTTTAAGGGTCCCCATGACACTTGCAACCAAGGGAGCAATGGGCACCTGCAGCTGGTTCTGAGCTTAGCCCCCAAACCTGTCTCCAAGGTCCCCCTTTCTCTGACTTCCAGTGAGCCAAAGCAGCCCTGCCAAGGCTCTCTCCTGTTTCTTCTTCTAGTCTAAGCAGCTCCTTGTTTCACTGCCCCTAGCTTTAATAAACTACTCTCCAAATCAAAATAAATAAATAAATAACAATGGAAATCCCAAATAGTGACACATATTATACGGAAAGCAAGAGAATGGAGAGGTCGATGCAGGGCAATCTCCTTGAAGAGACAAAATCTGAACTAAGATCTGAATTATATCATGGAATCAGTAGCAAGGTCTAAGGCTAGTGAAGCCAAAGGGTGCAGCAAGTGCAAATGCCCTAATGCAAGAGCTAGCCTGGCAAATTCCAGGGACAATGCCAAGTGCCACTGGAACACAGGATGAAGCTGACGTGGCCAGGCTCTGTCACAATGATCTAGTGCAAAACCTGTACTGCCTGGCAAGCTTTGGTAAAGAATTTGGATTTTATTCTGAATGTGATGAGAGGCTTTCAACAAAGGGGTGACATAATCTGACTTATATTTTAAAGGATCTCTTAGGCTGTGATAAGAGAAATGAAGTGTAAAAGGCCAAAGTGGAAGCAGGTAGACCAGCAGGTCACTGCAGTAGGCCTAGTGATAGTTAGCAAAGATGGCAGCAGTAGATATGGGAGATGGACAAATCTAGAATATATACTGAACACTGTAACTTAAGTCAAGAAAAAGAGTTAAGTCACATAATTAGTAAGCATCTGGGACTGATTTTATCCAACAAATAGATAACGAAAATAGAGATGTAAAGGTTTTAGGTAAGTTTATGACTAATAGGAACCCAAAGGGCTTATCAGCATACTTAGAATACTTCATAGTATGTCCTTATCCTTTGAAGCTGAGGTTGAGGGGGACATTTCCTTCTCTTTTGACACCACCCATAAAGCACTGGACTAATACGCACACAACCAAGACTCAATGTCAGTAAAGCATACTGAGTGTGACTCATAAAGTAAAATCTTTCAGGACCTTATTGCTGCAGGCCTGGAAACCCTGTCAGCATTGGGAGCATACTGTAGCTATGGGATAGAACTAAATCTCTATCTGAATCAAATCCCTAAATTAGCAAACACTTTTTACGCTTCCATATTGTCAACTCAGGCTATTCTGTGCCTGCACTTCCCAGACTTAAACAAGAAAAGCCTTACTTTGCCACACAATACATATTAATTTCTTAAATCTTACAGCATCATAAATATTTGGGAGGAAATCTTTTTAAAACCACAATTTTAACTGTTATGGTCTGGCAAACACTAAGTGAGTATTTCCTAAAATAGCAAGTGCAAAAGGTCCAAAAGTCCGTATCTGAAAAAGCAGGTTACAGAAAAGCATATATGTTTCTTTTGTATAAAATACATAAATGCCAAAAATAAGTCTGAAAGGACATAAACTGCTGCAAATACTTTGGTGATCTATGGGTGGCAGGAATATTGATGACTTTTCCTCTCCTGTGGTTATCTGCTTCAATCAACATTTTCCCCAATTATCACACGTTATTTTGTATAAGCAAAAATATTCCGTTATATGTTAGCATAAAAGATTTAAAAAAGAACTGCAAGAAAACAATTTCATTTGTCTAAATCAACAGGACTCCAATTGTGGTATTAAGAAAAAAGATCTTAACTGCCCACAGAGCACAGTTGAGAAGAAATTTGTTAAGAGGACCATGTGATACCTACCACACAAGATCACACCCTTCAAGATAGTATTCTAAATCCGTAAGAACTCTTCCAGGATTTAATAAGGGGCAATCAGTTAACACATACTTCTGTTCTTCCTTCTCACCATTTACCGAAGAAACACAATGTATGAGTTTTCTGGGGGGGCGGGTGGAGGGAATGTCCTTTTAAAAAACCAAGTTAGGACAAAAAGGACATCTGATCTTCAGGTCTCACTCATGCCCTAGACTGGCACGGACGGTGGCAGGGCTGGCAGTAGGCTATACTACTCTGCGTGGCCAGTCACCTGAAGTGGAAGAGGACATAAGCTATCTGCCACCTGCGCAAAACTGGGCAGTGAGAACACTTTCTAAGGGTCTCGAGGCTAAAACAGCTGAGACAGTTTACTGCCGTCCAAGTTACTGTAGGCATAGCTGCCAATGATTTCTGACAATCACAGAAAAACCGGAATGTCCCTTCAACAAACACAGGTATTATGTGCCTAAAGTCCATCCAACTCTCTTGGTGCAAACCCAGGGCATTCTCTTACCAGGGCCACATTTTTGATTTTGCAAACCAGGACAAGTGAAAACAGTCTACTGACTCTCTACAGCTAACAAACATCATTTGGGCTAAAATCTTACATGCACAGAAACAGCCACTTTGGAAAACTTTGACTTTAAACGGCAGCACTGGACTTTAGCTACTCCGGTAACCAGTTTATCGCACATAATCTGTTCCAATAAAGGGTGCTACCTCTTTACTGTCAGCTCTGGTTGCACTTACTGAACAGACAGAAAAAAAAAGGGAATCCTTTAAATTTGCAACACAATAAAGGACAAAAAGCTCCCGCTTTCTGGATGGCAGCTTTCCTGTCTCATCAAACACAACAAAGGACGCATCCTACTGTCTTCCTTAAACGCGGCAAGGGCTAAACAACAGAAGTAAATGATATAGTGTGAATTTGTGGATTTCTCCTTCCAGTTACATACGACTCTCTCCTTTTACTCCATTATACGCCCCCACCCGAGTTGGCTGTCTTGCCCTAAAAATAAAACCACCCGAGGCTACCATCCACTTTCCTGCCAAGCCCCGACTCTGGTTTCCTGCAGAAAAAGCCAAATTGCAGTCTCTTCCTCCTCGCTTATCGCCGGGGTACGCGGGCTCGGCAGCATTGGGCTTCTCCGGGTGCGGAGCTGCCAGCCCGGCCGGGGAAACACCGAACCTGAGGTGCAGCCCCACTGTGCCGCAGCCACCGCAGTCCGTGCGAGCCTGAAGACCCCCTAAGGAAAAACCGGGATAAGGGGAAGGTGGGCCGAAGGGGAGACACTCACCCGCCCAGACAACAACCGACGGGGCGGGGAGGATGTGGGCCGGGACCCAGGCTCGGAAGCAAGACCGCCTGGAGTTTCCGGACGCTGCGGGTGCTGCTCTTGGCCTCTGGCTTCCTCCCCTCCTCTGTTTTGGTGCGACTGACCACGTCACTATTAACCACGAGACCCGGATCTACCCGCTTCCGCGGGCGGCGGCGCAACAGATTGCAGCGACTCGAGACCCCAGCGGTCTGTCGGCCGAGCATGCGCGCACTCCGCGCCTGCCCACTGCGTCCGGGGAGGCGGGGACGAAGGCCAGCGTCCCAGTATTTGTGCGGCCGAGTGCTGGCGGGGCTTACGGTTCCGGTTGAGTGGGGCGAGGCCTCGCGGATGTTAAAACGGTTCCACGTAGCCTCTGTTTGTCCGCGATGGACAGTTTCCTGTACTGTGCGTCCCCATTTGCCTAAGCTGATGGCCGTCCTCGACTGGAGTCTTTAGAATAGCAAGGGATAGAGGTGGGCCCAGGTTGACGTCTGCTGAGACAGGCTACCACTGCAGAGATTGTGTTTTTGAGCACTCAGGGCCAGGTGAAAACTGAACATAGAGGATTTCGTATTATGTACAAAAGTACGTCGAATGTGGCAGTTACTGATCCCCTTTACCCTAACATATTTACACCCAGGAAGCTTGCTAAAATTAAGCTCAAGAGAAGCATTAAAAGGAAAATGTCAACAAAGATAACTTGCTGGGCCAGATAGTGGGGGACTGGAAGAGGAAAGCTGTCGTTAGGCAGTCAGCCTAAGCCTTTTGTTAATTTTAGGTGTTGGAATAAGGAAACTCTTTGTGGGGTTAAGAACCTCACTTCTTTATAGAACAAGTTGATGCTTACTGCTCTGCCCTCCTTAGTCGTGCTGTTAAACGTTTGGGCACAGAAAATTTCTCAATGTGGCAAAATTTACGGCTACTCTATAAAGTTCCATGAGTTAACAAACTAAGTAAAATAGAACCAGTGATAAAAGTGGAGTTCCAAAGATTTCACAAAGGTGCCTCTTTGCCTGTCCTGCAGAAGAATTGAAAGTTAGCTGCATTCCTTATCCTGACTTGGTGACTTTTCACCTACCCAGTCTTCTCCCTCGGCTATTTGGTTAATCGTCCCAACTAGCTGAGTCACTTTCAGAAAATTAGTATCCACAAGAGCTTTTCAAAGTGGCTATTGAACACAGGTAAAGATTTCTAGAAAAATTAAAGGTTTCTAGTAAAACTCAGTGTTTCCTAATTAATTAACAGATTAAAAGTCAAGCTCTTTGGCCCTTAATCTGCAATCTTGAGCTCTATTTGCTCAAATTTAGAGAGTTTGAGGTGCAGTCTAGTGCCCTAATGAAGTTCATGGGCTGACCCTGTAATAGAGGGTCTTTAATCTGTGGAACAGAAAGTCTGGAATGCTTGGGTGCCCCCATGTACACATATGTGTTTCAAAACACAGCTGTGTTTAAGAGAACACTGTGGTACAAAACGAGACTTGGACCTGGCTGGTGTGGCTCAGTGGACTGAGCGGCAGCCTGCAAGACAATAGTTTGCTGTGTTTGATTCCTGATCAAGGGGTATGCCTGGGTTGCAGGCCAGGTCCCAGCTTAAGGATGTTCCAGAGGCAACCAAGCATGGTTTCTCTCACACATCGATGTTCCCTCTTTTTCTTTCTCCCTTCCCCTCTCTATAAAATAATTTTTAAAAAAAGGCTAGACTTGTACAGGTTATTGCGAAATTAGCAGTACTTATTTTATAAAGTAAATTACTAGAAAATCAAAATGTTAGGATCCCTGATAGCTCAGCTTCCAAGATACCCCCAATGATTCTTGTCTCTTTAAATGTTCCATCCTTTTGAATCAGGGGCACTGTGACCTGTGGAATACAGCTGACGGTGTGTGACTTCTGATACTAGGTCATAAAGGCTCTGATTGCAGCTTTTCACCTGGTTCTCCTGGATTGCTTGCTCTGGGGGAAGATAGTCTCCATGCCATTCCACTCAAGCAGTCCTATGAAGAGGCCCATGTGGGGAGGAACAAAAGCCCCCACCAACAGCCAGCCCAGCACCAGCTTGCCAGCCATGTGCGTGAACTACCTCTGTTGGGTTAATCCTGCAACCCCAAGCATACATTGGTTACACTGCATACCAGCCCAGCATCTGCTTGCAATCTCATTAGAGATAGAAAGGGCCAGCTCTTCTACTTAAATGAAACAGTTTAAAAGGAATCCGGCTTAATATGTCAAAATATTATTGCATTTTCTAGGCTCTTATGTAAGTGGATTCATACAACACGTACTCCCTTTTGTCTAGCATCTCTCACTCAGCATACTTATTTTGAGATTTATCATTGTTTTAGGTATCAGTAGTTCATACCCTTTCATTGCTGTGTAGCATTTCATTGTATGGATATACCACCATTTGTTTATCTATGAACCCTGTTCATAGATATGAACTTTTGGGTTTCCAGTTTTGGCTATTAAAAATAAATCTGCCAGGAACATTTGTACATAAGTCTTTGTGTGAATATATGTTTTCATGTTTCTTGGGTAAATACTTAGGAGTAGAACGGTTGGGCCATATGGTAGGTGTATATTTAACTTTTAAGAAACTGCCAAACTTCCCAAGTGGTGTTTCACATTCCCACCAGCAGTATGTGAGACTTAATTTATTGAGAAGACTGTTTTACCTCATATTTTTAATAGTTTTAATTTCTTTGTGGGGGGGGGGGGAGCAGGGCAAGCAAAGCAACTGTATTGGGAAGCCAGAAAACAAAGGGTGGCGAACTAGTTTCCTAAAGAACCATCCTAAGAAAGTACAGAATTTAGGCTTCTTTTATTGCAAGGGAAGGAGGAAATGGGAGAGGCAAGAGGTGAGAGATGACTGCAGACAGCTGGGTGCCAGCAGGGGGCCAAGGAAGATTGTGGAACTTTTTTTTCTTAATCTGTTGACTCTATCTGATGTGAGTCTGGTCACAAGGTTCAGTTCTAGAAGCCGGTAAGTTCAAGATCCCGCTGCTATCAGATTTGGTGTCTGGTGAGGGCCCATTTCCTGGTTCACAGGTGGTTGTCTTCTGTGCCCTCATTTGACAGAAGGGCTAATACTTTTAATTTCTGATTATGTCTATGCAAAATTCATACATCAACTTAATTTCTATACTCATTCTCGTCATACTTACTTAATGTCTACCATAATTACATGTCATCTCACGTCCTAAATTTGTTTTAGTTTCCTTTGAATTCTGAAAAAAATCTCTGGACAGTAAGCTATATTTGCTTTTTAAAAAACCTGTTATTCTTAGGAACAAAAATGTGTAGCTATTTACAAATTTAACTTTAAGTACTAATTAACATTTTTACAGTGTTCTTTAGTCCTATAATTTCTTTTATAATAATGCCATTTTTTAAAGTGCAGATATTGATAGAACTTTTTACTTATATTCATTGATGACTTCTTTAGAGCTAGAGAATGGATTCTCCACCTAACTTCAAAGTTTACATTTTAAACAAGATATACATAACAGAACACAGTTGTAGTGGATTTATACTGTGTTTATTTAGTTACACAGGAACTATGATTCTGAGAAATTCCCTTCCCTACACAATTACAGGTTAGCTTGGGCCATGAGAGACCTTTTGTGCGAGATTAAGAAAGCAGCAGTGAAAAGAAAGCTATTTTTTTTCTTTAAACAGCTTTATTAAGACATGATTTACATACCACACAACTCACAACTGTCATCTTTTTACACTCAAAAGGGAAATGTAGAGCACCAGGTACTGCTGCAGTTCACACATGTTGTCACTGATGTTTTGACTCACTCTGGAGGTGTGAGGCAGCAGCGGGGTCCACAGCAACTGTCTCCTGCTGAATCAGCTCCTTCAGCTTCTCCAACTCTCACTCCTGGGTCAGGTATACAGTTTGCTTTATAATGGAGGATATAGCTTCTCTTGCCGGTCACTACATCACTGAAGTCAGAGGTTTAGAGGCAATAAGGGACCGAGGGAGGTTCCAGCTTGACCTTAGGGGTTTATCTTTGCTCTTCCCCACATCATGTCCATCTTTCCTTCCTGGGCTTCCTGCCATGCTGGCATCAGGATCAGCCCCAGACACAGAAGCAAAAGCCATAGTTAAACTATTTAACCAGTTTCTACAATTGTGCAAGGTCAAATTCCAAAACAAATACTATAACATTCCCCGTTGTACAGTTTCTATGAACAAATTCTGTTAAAACTTTACACATTCACAATCTTTGAGAATCCCTTTCCATCAAAAAGACATCCAAGAGTATAATTAAAGGAGGGTAATGGATCTGTGCAACTTTCACCCCTAATTCAGAAATGTTTTTCTGGAGGCTATTTTGTTTAAGCACCTCATCATGAGCTTTCATTCAGCTCAAGATTATCACTGGGCTCTTCCTCCATATTCAGCTTTGGTATATTAAGTGAACACCAAGATGGAATGAAATGACCTGGAAATAAAAAGTAAACTTACAGATCAATTGAATACAGGAGCACAATGTACAATACTGCCTAGGCTTGCTAATCAGGCCCTTAGGGTGACAGAATTAATGTAAAGGATATTGCATGCTACTGTAAAAAGAATGAAAATTAAAATGTGGTTAATATTTAGCATGTATGATTTTAAAAATGTATATTGTAGAGGTGTCTCCTCTACCTGAATGTATAATTGGTATAGGTATAATGTTTAAATGGAAATTTCTCCTCTACTAGGTAAAATTTTTTAAAAAATAATATATTCATTGACCCTTTGAAGAGTATTAGTTGGATATGCAAAATGGGAGCCTTCAGAGTTACCTAAGCCAGGCCCTGTCTGCTGCTGCTGGGGAATTGGGCCTCTCATTTCAATGAACTATTCAAGGATATTATGCATCAACCTGGTTCATGGAAACAGTTCCAAAGGGTTCAGTATGGAACTATGTCTCAGTGTCCAGCAGATAGTCAAAATTCTCAAAAAAGAAAATAAGAACAACTTGGTCCAGGGGGCTAAATTATAAATTGTGTTTCTGGAAGTAATAGAAGAATTAGATACAAATAAATGCCCTGCTCCCTAACTCTGGGGCTGTTACCAATTTGCAGTTGCAATTTGGTTTGGCAAGTGGGCCATGGATAACTGGGTGATAAAAAGGGTACTACTCTTTGAAAATCTTTATGTAAATTCCAAGGGAAAACTAAAGTGGGACATGTTGATACTCAACATGCAAGGAATCAAGCTGATACTTGAGTTT